ATGCATGAAATTTGTGCATCAACCTATTTTTCTGATTGACAGTGCCCACTGTGTTGCAGAGCTAAAAGCACCATTAATGCTGATGTAAACCAGGACTATGCAGTGATATATTTATGAATGTTAGGGAAAAGAGGTAACACTGAAGTAGCTCTTGCTCACATTGCTGAAACAAAGTGACTCTTTCATCACCAGCTTTCCAAAACTGCCTGAATCACTGAAAGGTTTATTAGGCAGTTGAGGAATCTGCTCTAACTTAAAAAACATAATGTACAACAAAGAAAACACAATGGAATAAGCATTATTTAAATTAGGTTAGTTGCCTAAACAAATCCTTACTGTACCTTTCATGTTCAACAGGACCAATGGAGAGGGAGACATGGGGAATACTTCGAGTCTAGCAACTGGGGTGAGTTCTTATTGGGGAGGTGTAAGGAGCTGCAGTTTTAATAGTCTTCTTCAGGAAGTGGGGAAAATTGTTTCAATGATATAATCAGAGACCGACCCATCTCTTATCATAGAATCTATGATCAGATATTCACCTGGGGTACAGCCTCATATGCAGGCAGCAGACCGGACATCACTTTGGATCCAAGATTTCTTTTGGAAGATGCAGTCTTTCCCTCAGTGGGTTATATGATGCTCACATGTATCTTCTCACCAGTGCAACAGTTGCAGAGCACGAGGGGGAAATAAAGCTGCTTTGTTTTTATACTCAGGCTCGGGCTGGTAATCTCTGATACAGCGCATTTGCCCGGTTGACCGGTCCTAATTTCAGGCTGCAAGAGCCGGCCCTCCTTAAATCCTAAGGCCACAAAGCTTACTCTCTAGCTGAAGCACCTACTTCTGACAATACATAACTGAAGGAGCTCAAGAAGTAAAACAATATTAACTACCTAAATGATGCATGCAGTATATATATATCCCTTCCTTGTCATGCACATCCTTGTGACAGTTGGCATATGGTGTAGTTTTTCAATTTCTTTAAACTGTAAAATCCTTGCATTAAACTAAATTTTAATTAAGATAAAATGCTTTCTTTAAACTTGCAAAAAGTCCTGCGATCAAGACAGCATCAAGGTAGGCCATTTAGTTTTTGATTTTGCTCACTGCAACATGTTGACTTGGGCTCACAGGTTTGCTTAAGTAGGTTGGCTGAAGTAGGTGTGGCTCATTTGCACTAAAAGGTGGGGTTCATTGTGCCTTCATATTTTGCTTTTTTGTTGATGGAGAGAGTGAAATATCACTGTAAAAGGTATTTCAAAGCAAGATAGAAGAGTCGTGTGATGCTTGTAACCTAGTGTGAAGGCTTTGGAAGGCATTCAATTGACTATGACGGCTCTGTGTCAAAGTGTACAATTCNCCTTCATATTTTGCTTTTTTCTTGATGGAGAGAGTGAAATATCACTGTAAAAGGTATTTCAAAGCAAGATAGAAGAGTCGTGTGATGCTTGTAACCTAGTGTGAAGGCTTTGGAAGGCATTCAATTGACTATGACGGCTCTGTGTCAAAGTGTACAATTCGCCACTTCACCACTATTAATCTTAATAGTAGTAGTATCAGTAGGACTGCTGGTTTCGTTGACTGATGGAACCATGGTGTTTACATTATTCCATTTCATTGCCCAAATGCCACCTAGACTTGCAGTGGATGCTTACACACTGCTGAGCTTTCATGTATTCATTATTGAAGACCTGCCTTTCTGCCTCTATATTGTAATGATTTATGTTGGTGTTTTTACAACACTCCGGCTTACGTTGTAGACCTAATATGTGTGAGTGGGTGTCTGGGTGGCTTCCTGCAAGAGTGGTCGTGCCCTTGATAATAACCAAAGCCAGTAAAACCACATTATAGAAGACTTGGTGATTGCTGTCGAGTGATGCTTGAAGATAGATCGATGGAAAAATGCCAGGGCCGAAAATCATTCCCAGTCCGAGCCTGTTTATACCTCTATGATATCACAGAGGATCCATTGTGGTGTAGAGCTCCCTCCTTTCTAGAAGCTGAGCATGATGATATTATGATGAGATTTTTAGTTGTGTCTATCATCTTTGGCGTTTGATTAAATAAATGATTTAAATTAAAGAACACAATCTACTGAGGAACAGCTCAGAAACAGGGAGATGATGATGGATATAAATACTAATGAGATGAGGAAAATCAGAGCGAAATTTTCAAACAAGAATGTAAAAACATCACACAGAGTAGATGACACCACAACATGATAAAATCAAAAATGTTAGATATTACCTGAGGTTATTCAGTGTTACTAAAATTTATGTTGGATAGAAAAACGATTTGTATAGAGTCTGTGTTTTCTTTAAAAGTTTGTGGGGAAAAATAAGTTAGGAAGGAAATTTAACCAACATGTATAGTGTCCAGGAACAGAAACTGTGATAAAATCATGAATTACAGTAGTGAACCACCAATTTATAAACAAATCAAACTGATTGGAGGATTTGTTTTCAGACAGATGAAGAAACTCTAAGACACTCACACTTTAAGTTGCCTCAATCTTGTTGCTGCAAAGAAATAAAATACATCAGAAACTACATTAAAAAAAAAAAAAAAAATGCTTCATTCATCATCAGGTAAGAAAGTACACTGGATGTCAGCTGGATAATCTTACCCCAAATTAAATGGATCAAATTTATGTATAAAACACAAATATGAGCAGTAATCTATAAATATTTATCAGCAAATAAATCCAAATGAGGATCCAAAAGTCTGTAGAATCACCTTTGCCAGAAAGAAGATCTCAGTAGCTGTTTTCATCTGATGGCCAAATGGTTTCACATTAGACTCTAGAACATGTTGATAAACAACGGTGGTCATGGTCGACTCAATGACTGGAAAAGGCTTAGGTCCTGTAAATGGAGAACAAACCCATATCATCAATCATCCACCTCCTTACTTCACAGTTGATGTCTTGTCATCGTGTGGATTTGGAAGTTTGGGTTTCTTTAAACCTGGTTCTGTCTAGCTCAATTATTAACCCTGAAGACTTTTAACAAGTGTTGTATTTGGGGACACAGATAAACTCCAACAAAAATACAAAAAGCAAAGCATTGGAAAGGCTGGATGATGACAAAAAACCATCTTAAGAGACAATTTAATCAGATAATGCAATCATATCGGTTCAAAGTTTCTAAAGGAAACCAGCTGATTTCTTTTATCATCACATCATTCATCAAATTGATCATTTCTAACAGCCTCTGAACAAACATTTTGGCTGCTGCTAAATCAGTCAGAGCAAACTCACCATAAATGAAGAATCCGGCTGCAGTGACCAGAGCCACTACGAAGAACAGAACACACGCCTGTGACTCAGACAGCATGCTGCCTACGTCCTGAAGCCACAAACAGAAAGTGTTGATCAACTCAGTTAATGGTCATCCAGGTCAATCATTTCAAAATTCTTTGAAGGAGGCTTTGACATGTTCATTGTGTTTTATATTCATCAGACATCCATCTTTGAACTTTAACTCTTTGCAAGTTTTACTTCAGATGAATGTTATATGAGACCTTTAAACAATCTATAGTTTGAATATCTCATTTAATGTTCATCTAAGTAAGATAAACAATCTAGGTCAGATAAACCAGGGTCCACTGGTTATTCTAATAACTTCATAGTTTTCTCACCTTTGCTCTGATGCTGTTGGTGCTGTGATAAGTCAGGAGGGTGTCTGTGGTCATGAGATCTGCTGGATGAGGAAATGAGAGTGGACGACTTTAGAACAGCTTCGTCAACAGGGTGAAAACAGAAAGGAGCTAATGAGTGGTACATGCAAAAAAAAATATTATGTTTTCTTCCCAGCATCAGCTTCTCCTTAAAAAAACAGTAAACGATTTACATTTTTCACACTTTCATCAGGCTGAGTCATGCTGGCTGTTGAGTCTTCAAGTAGTTTTAGAGGTTTGTGGTTTAGTAGATGTTGGTGGTCTTCACTGATTTCTGTTTTTGTGTTTTTTACCTGTAGTCTTGGCAACATCTTGTCTCTCTGTGAGCATCTTTGTGTCTGATTGAGGTGATGTGGTCAGATCTGGAGCTGAAGATACACAAGGAACATTTTTAACCTTGTTATGAAAATTATAATTGATCATTGAATCATCTTGCCCCAGTTTCAACTAAAAACTCTCTTTCCAAATGCTAATCATGTGAACAGTTTTCATATTTCACTGAACAACCCCAAAGTTAATAAAATAAGTTAATTGTGGTTCCCAGAGAGCGGTTGGCTATCAACATGGGAGGTATTTCTTTGTGATTAACGATCTAATTTATAATTCTGCACACCTTCTATTATATTGCTTATTCTTTGACTGATACATCCATAATTTTCTACTTACCTCTTGACAGAATGAAAAGCACTCTAATTTAGATCTGCCTGTGCTATCAATACTTTATTAATTTAACAAATAAATTCCTGGATCTATCGCATG